AGTGGAGAGAAGTGATAATGGCAGCTGGATCCTAACCCATCTTGGAACCAAGCTGGTCTTTTTGGCCTGCCGCCAGAAAGCTTAAACTAGAATAGCAGTTGGCAGTGTTAAGTAGAATAAGGGCCATGGTATAGGAAGACTGGTCTTTCCAAGGTGAGCGCTTTTATGGAAGTAACAATCACTTTTGTGGGAAGGTAGAACCGGCTACTGTACTGTTTGATTGTATGTATTCTAATTCTGTTATTAATCGAACAGAATGTTAAATAGTCCCGGAAAGAGAGCTGACAGATCCAGATAAAATGTACCTTTAGTAGTGACTTGATGGATTGAATGACATTTAGTCTGTAATCAGCACAGGGATCTGATCAAGGTAGATCTCATGAATAAAGACAAGTGCCTGAGATCAGCCTTTCTTAATCTATAATTTACTTTTTTGATTCAATATCAATTCAGTATATATTGAATTTTTAACTGAATTCAGATTTAAATTCAATTTAAATTTTATTAATACTTTAGAAGTGACGTTAGTTGCAAATCTTGTACTGCAACATTACTTGAGGCTCAAAAATTGAGAGGAGTTTAAAACAATTAATATCAAAATGAATATATAAGTTCACTTCACCAAAAAAGGGCCAAGAATTTGGCCTGACTTATGGGTGCCTTGATATTGGAAATTTTGAGATTCATTAAAACAACAGTCTTCCCTTTCTCCCCCACCCCCTTGAAAATTGAGGCTACTTGCAGATGTAAAAAAACCCAAACAAACAGCACTTAACTTTAAACTTGGCGTGCTCCTGCACTGAGCCCAGCACATGCCCAGGAGAGGCAATGTATTAGTTGGACCCGGCTTGCCCAACATCTCTACAGGTCAGGCACTTTAGCGGGGCTTTTGGGGTACTTTTTATCTAGTAGCTGATTGAATCGGCTTTAGCTAAAAGTGCCCAAAAGCTCGGCTGGAGTGCCCAATCTGTACAGATTCTGTGGAGCTGGGTTGAAGTAAGGTGTTGCTGCTTCTGGTAAAGTGTAACTTTGTGGCTTTGTTTTAATGTCTGCGAGCAGCCTGAATGTCTTAAGGATGGTGTCTGAATCAAGCACTTAGAATCCTCAGTCACTGTTGGAGTTTAAGGTGTGCAAAGAAAGGAAGGTTGTATGAGGGAAAGATGCTTTATTCAGTGTTATTGATGTACCTGTTCATCTGAAAAGTAACCTCAGTTGACTAGAAAGTGTTTGTCATTGGAGGGGTAAGAATCAGTGTTTAGAATTTGGAATGATATGCGCATTTATGTACACTAAACTAACTCATGTTTTGGAAAAATGTCTCGACAGCCAACCAGAAATAGTTTAATTGATCCTGTTAAAGTATGGCCAAATATTCCTCCTCCAAGTACTAAGACTGCACCCATCTCTATCCCAATATGTAATGGCTGCGGAACCAAAGGACCGGGAAAAGAGACACGTTTATTACTGGCGAGCAGCCTGGGCAAATCTCCACAGAAATATGGTAAACACCATTTGTTTGAAAGGTTTATTTAAAGGATGCACTTCTTAAAAATCTATTGAATATTAAAAATTTGCACCTCTTTCTGAGAATGTTTAAGTAACACCAAAGCATACTAAACTATTTGTTTCTGTTTGATAGCTCAGCCCAGTCAGATAATGACATTAGCATAATGCTGTATTTACTCAAATATGAGACGAGGTTTTTTCCCCTCAGTTGGCTTTGGAGGGGGAAAAGCCACTTGTCTTATTGCATGGAAGGAAATCTCACTAAACACATTATCTATCAATAAACTGCTGCCAAAAGCAGCATGTGTTCAGTAATGGAAAACAACTATGAAGCTGATCAAATGCAGTCAAAACTAAACATGATTAAAATACCTGTCCAGCACTGGGCAGACATGGTGATGGGTACCTACCACAAGGATATGTTAGTGCAAACCATCTGAGTAAGACATATGCTAGTGCCCATTAAGTGCAATCCCCCTCACCACCGACTCTTTCAAACCATGGCGAGCAACAACATTTCATACAGTTCATCCAATAGTCCTCAGTTGTGACCCCTTTCAGCCTGGTGCCTATGATTAATGTGGGCCAGCTCTCTATTAGCGCATCCAGATGAGCACAGTTGTGCAGTATGTGGTGCTGCAAACACGTTTGCGACACCACGTACTGCACAGTCTGGTGTTCTCCGTGCTGAAAGGGTGCGCTGCTTATGCATAGGGGTCAGAAAATCTGCTGGAAAAAAAGAACTGGAGCACGCACACTCGGGCATCACGCACTACTGAAAAGCGGAGCTAGGCCACCTGGAACTGTGCTGCAGCTGCTGGCGAGGCTCTGCCAGGCAGGATTGCCACAGCTGCAGCCCCGGGAGGCCCCCAGGACCCAGATAAGGCTCCTGGGGCCAACTCAGTACTGGCTTCAGCTTTCCTTACTGCTCCCTGGTGTAACATGCCACGCACCAAGCCGCATGTGGCACTGGCATTCCTTGGGGACAAGTAGCTGCATCTCAAGGTGCGCCACTGCTAGTTGTCCTCAGGGAACCAAACTCCCACACACATCTGGATGCACCTCATGAGATGAAGCCAGACCAGGTTGCTCTGCATCTTATTTGCATGTAAATTTTTGGAGCTTCCCAGGACTTGTGAAAACAACACATGGTTCCAGTCATGAGTGGGGGCTAATTAGCACAGGAATCCTTTGAGGGAGGTATCTGGAGTATACACACATACTGAGCAGTGCTGAGTTGTGGGGTCGCTCTGGCTTGAAATGCTGTTGACTGGTGGGGCTTAGCCAGGGGAATGAACTAATGCGGTAAATCGTGAGCCTTTTGGCTTTGGACTAATATCATGCATAATTTATACTAGATATAAGTAGGTGCCAAACTGCTTTTCAAAAGTGTGTTTATGAAATGCCTGTGCTAAAACTTGCAGCTGTTTAAAAAAAACCCCAAACTTCACATTAATTCTGGATGAGCTAAGTCTATGGGTACTATATGCAAATTGATACTATATGCAAATTATGGGTTGCCATGTTTAATTTCAAGCTTTTTCTTTTCACATTTGCTCCTCACTTCCATGTGCTCAGGGAGAGCAGGGTCTGATAGTAAGGAGAGGAGGAAGAGGCTGCCGAGGGAGAGAGTTGGAAGAAGACAGAAAGCAAAGGCCTACCTGGTTCCTCCTTCCCCCCCACCCAATTGACTTTCCCTGCTGGTTAAATTCAGGGCAAACTTCCAGTAATTGGCGTCTCTACCTGAATAATTGTAACCACTTTTATAAATCTTCCATACATAGAATCTTAATTAGTCGGGGGTCATCTAATAATCAAGGTCATCTTCTATTTGAGTAAATACAGCATTTTTATATACTTACCATTTGAACATTGGTTCCAAGTTTGGTGATGGGGTACTTTTCTCTTGTCTAGAAGGATTAACTTTCATTCATGTGGCACCTGCTGTTTTGTGGCCATTGCAGGTTATAGAACACATGTAAGCATGATTCAGCTTTTGTCTGTTCTGAAAAATCAGAATTAGAATTATTCCTCAGCTCATGATAACTCCTTGTACCAGAGTCATGTTCCAATTTAAATTTGTTTTTTAGTTGTTTTATTTAACAACCCACTTCACACTGGGCATTTATGCTACTACTTTTTGTTATTAATACAGGAATAACTATGAACTTCTGTGTACGGCTTTAGACAACAATTAGTAATTTAAGTGGTCTCAGAAATGCCCTTCCTCAATGTTAAAGAGTTTGATAGAATATTTTTAAATACAAATTTGCTTGGTTCTTTAACATTGTTTTGATTTTGACAGTCTCATATTTTTCTATGGCAAGATATCAAAGATATAGTCTGTGAGCTGCATCCAGCCTGCAGACCAATTTCACCTGGCCTGTGTGGCTCCTAGAGGCCTAGGATTTGTGGGGAAGGGCAAGCAGGCCAGACTCCTAGCTCTGGAGCCCTGTTGGAGGACACAGGTTGGAGGGAGGGAGAGATCAATCTTTGTTTAGTGGCAATCAATTTCTTCTCCAAACTTGACTAAGAGAAAACATTGGTAAATTCATGGTTCAAGTATTGATTTAAAATAAAGAAGAATCATTTTGCATTAAAAAGGTGACCCTTTTAGAGGCAACTAGTTGTTACTTCTCATTGCATTGCTTAGTTGCATTTCCTGAGAATTGTTGTTCTAGGCTTGTAGCTCAATACCTTACTTTGGTATCTTTTATATTCTAGTGCTTGTAACTGTGAAGGTTCATTTTCTAAGCATCATTCAGACTAAAATTAAAGGTATTTCATCAAATCTGTACAGGATCTCCAGAAGTTGCAGTAACTGGCCAGTTACTAGAAAACTTGCCCCCCATTGGAGTCTTCTGGGATATTGAAAACTGCTCAGTTCCGACTGGCCGTTCAGCTATTGCAGTTGTACAACGAATTCGTGAGAAGTTTTTTAAAGGTCACAGAGAAGCAGAATTCATCTGTGTGTGTGACATCAGTAAAGAAAATAAAGAAGTTATCCAAGAGCTAAACAACTGCCAGGTATGGGAAAGTGAATGAGAGAGAGATTTATGGTGTGCTTAATTAAGGGAAGCTGCATGCTTTCAGACATCCTAAATGTATGTAAACAATCTGTGTTAGGGTTTGGTAATTGTCAGGATAGATTAGGTGAGGTGATGTGTTAGGGAGCACCAGATGTTTGTCCTTGCTTTATTTAAAGTGGAGGGATGAGTTCTAACGAAACTGGAATACCATTTTTTTATGATGGCACTGCTGCTTATTTTTTCTAGGATTTAAAGGAACTATTTCTAGGTCTTAATCTGTTCACAAATGGAGAAGAGTAGGAATATAAATAATATAGTCGATTGTGTGGGTTATAATTTGCTGTGTTCAAACCTTTGTTTTTCTTGATAGAGATATATATTTTTAATTCAGTATTTGAGCATGCTTAAATTCAAGCAAGCATACGTCTGAATTTTATTTTAGGTTTATTAGATATCTGAAATTCTGAAAATGATTACTCTTTCTGAAAACAGCTGTATTATTGTCGGGACAACACTGAATAGACCATTGTTTCAAAATGGTGAAAGGGGGAATATATCTTTTAAGCAAGGTATTGGTGAAGTTGAAATAGCTCGCTCTAAAGCCCAGTCATGTAAAACAGAATTAGAGTTATGATTATTGTTGGGCTTGAAAGTACAATTCAAAAGTTACCTAGATAAATAATTTGACAAATAGGGCTAACTTACTGAGTCCAAACCCTCAGTAGATATCTAATTGCCAAAAAGGACAAATGAACCAATGATATAAATCATTTCTAGGTTCAGTTGCCAATTAGTATGAATTCTTAAAAATTTAAAGAATTGCTCATAATAGTTATACAGATCTAATTAGAAATGTATACATCTGCATCTACAAAAAACTGTTCTAGCCTCCTTGAGCACTGTGTAGCTACACTTTCTGCAGTTTCAGCAAAACGTGTCTGCCCATCTTGGAATAAGCATTGGTCAGCATTTTAAACAGACTCAATCCTTTATCTTCTAATACAAAGTCCTAATACTTCTCAGAAGGGGTCCCCTTTTCCTATGTTGTCCATATTTTTGAAGGCTCTAGTATTTTTATAGATTCTCTGTTTTAAAAGTGTTTCCATCATACCTGCCAGCAGGGTTCTCTTGTTTACTGCTGTGCTAATGGTTTAGGAATGTGTTCTCAAATTTTATCTTCAGGCTAATTTGAAAGTGCAAACAATCCTTTATTAGTAATTTTTTATTATAGTAATATCTTGTGTTTTCTAACTTTACATAAGTTAAACAAACATTAAGCTCTTCCCCCTGATTTTATTAAAATGTAAAAATTGAAACAGTTTATTCAGAACAAAAAATATTATAGACCAGTTGTAAGAGACTGGTTTAGTTTATCACAGTTTCCCTTGTACATCCTCTAGCACATGCAATGCTCCTCTTTTTAAGTACAGTGGATCTAAGATTAATTTATTAAGTCTGTTTATTTTTGGAAGAAATCCTCATTAAGAATATAAATTCTCATAACTTTTATCTCAAATTTAATTTCTCCTATGAAACACCTTTCTACTTCATACCTTTATACATTTTATATGGTATACATTGTGTGTTAAACTGAAAAGTAAATGCAGAACTTGGTCTGCTATATGTGCTTTTTTTATTTTTAAGGGGTTTTTTTTCTTTAAAAGCATGTTTTTATAATCTGTAGGTGACTGTTGCGCATATCAATGCCACAGCAAAGAATGCTGCTGATGACAAACTGAGACAGAGTCTTAGAAGGTTTGCTGATACTCACACTGCACCTGCCACTGTGGTTCTTGTCTCAAGTAAGTATGTCAGTTGTATTGTGAAAAATGTACTGTGTCTTTCTAGACTTTGGGGACAGAATTCAGGTCCTCTCTTGCATGTAGAAGTTTCAAGTCAGACCTTCACAGGGAATGTTTGCTGTGTGATATTTCCCAAACGTTGTGTTTAGAATCAGCACTATCTAGCTGAAGTGCTCAAATGAGAATTCATAACAGACTACAGTGATCCTGTTAAAAAACAATAATGAGTGAAAACTGAATATTGCTTATTAAACCATGATTTGTATATAGTTGACACATCACTGTGTGTGTCATTGAAAGGTCTTGTAAGTAAATATCTTCCAATAAGACTTAAGTGGGCACTGTGTATTAATTCCATTACTCTAAATAATAGCCTTTGTGGAAAATTTTGGAATATATCTTCTACAAAGTATTTAATTTTTGCATTATTACAAGAGACTAATGTAGAATACATACATATCATTAATATTTAAATGCCACGTTTCATTGGGCTTCCCTTAATGCTATAATAACTCTAATTGAAGCAAAATCTTTATTACAGAAGTATCATGAGTTAGAAAGCTTTTGTTAGAGTCTAAACTTTGCTGCTAATTGAGGTATCCCTTTTTTTAAATGCTTAGAGCTATTGTTAGTCTTTTTGTGTGAAGCTGCTTTTTTTTTGAAGTAAGCAGAACCTGTCAAAGTAATCTCTCATCAGTGACTTGACTGGATTTTTTTTTTGTTTCAGCTGATGTAAATTTTGCTTTGGAACTTAGTGACTTGAGACATCGACATGGTTTTCATATAATTTTGGTACATAAAAACCAAGCTTCAGAAGCACTATTACATCATGCTCATCAGCTTATCCGTTTCGAAGAATTTATTTCAGACTTGCCACCAAGGTTACCATTGAAAATTCCTGTAAGTGACTCTTATTGTATATATTGTAGAAAATCTAAGTGTGTATGAGCCCTGTTATTTCTCTAATTTTGCAGAAGTTCACGTAACAATTGGGATATTTTCAGCAGCACTGCTATGTGTTTCAAGGGTACACACTAAAGCGCTCAATCTATACAGACCCTGCAGAGCCAGATTGAAGCAGTGCACTGTGGTTGTTTTGTTTGCTTGTTTTTTAACATCTGCAAGCAGCTGGGTTGGAACTTAACCAGGAGCACTGCAAACACCAGGATTGCTATTGTTTCTGTATTGAGAGTCTGCTTTTTTTAACCTCTTCAGTAGCAGTTCTTTAACTCTGAGCCCTGGTATCATTCCATTACACAAATATCTATTATCTTCCTGAGATGCAAATTATAACAATTTTGCCTGCGTGTATTTGTAGGTATGCTTGTTCGTGAACTGTCAGAGTTGCAACTTTTTTGGGTTGCAAATTCAAAAGATGAGACGTTCTAGGGAAAATGGGATGATTCCTGCATCTCCTAAATGATTTGAACCTTTTAGTGGTCCCTCCCAACACCCATTGTAGTTTTCCCAAGTTTTAATTTTGGACCGCTGGAAAATGTCAGCAAAATGATCGTTTAGTTGTTTGTAATTATGGGAACTTTTTTATTACTTTTTTCTTCCAACAGCCATGCCATACACTGTTATATGTTTACAACTTGCCAACGAACAGAGACAGCAAAAGCGTCAGCAACAGACTCAGGCGTTTGTCTGACAACTGTGGAGGGAAAGTGCTAAGCATTTCTGGAAGCAGTGCAATTCTTCGCTTTTTAAACCAAGAAAATGCTGAGCGTGCACAGAAGCGAATGGAAAACGAAGATGTATTTGGCAATAGAATTATTGTGTCTTTTACCCCAAAAAACAAAGAACTCAGTGAAACAAAAAGTTCCAACTGTGTTGGAGCGGAAAAGATGAAGTCTCCAAAAAAAGTGAACAAGAACACAAAGCTGTGCCTCCTCAGCAAAGACTCAAGTGACCAGTCTTCCAGTGCCAAAACCACTGCAGGGAAAGGGTTGCAGATACATGGCACTACCACAAAAGCTGCAAATGTTAAAAGTTTACAGGTAGTACCATCCTTCTCATTCCTGC